CATCGCAAAATGCACAGACAATTGTTTCTTCAGATTTTTAATCTTTTCGAGACTTGACCCAGCAACCAACATATCATTAACATACAATAGTAAGATAATGTAGCTGTTGCCAAACCTCTTAACATAATAACAATGATCTACATAGCATCTCGTGAAACCATTACTGCACATGAATCCATCAAACTTCTTGTACCACTGTCTAGGAGCTTGCTTCAAACCATACAAACTCTTTTTCAGCTTGCATACCAAACCTTGTTTTTCTGGCACTGTGAATCCCTGTGGTTGTCTCATATAGATATCTTCCTCCAAATCACCATGGAGAAAGGCAGTCTTCATATCTAACTACTCTAAATGCAAATTTTCTGCAACCACAATTCCAAGCACCAATCTGATTGTAGTCAACTTCACAACCGGGGAGAAAATCTCAGTGTAGTCAACACCATGCTTTTGCTAAAATCCCTTCATAACCAATCTAGTTTTATAACGCTTGTTGCCATCATGTTCTTCCGTGATTCTGTAAACTCACTTGTTATGTAAAGCCTTTTTGCCCTTTAATAGTTCAGTTATCTCCCATGTCTGATTTGACATGAGTGAGTCCATCTCATCCTGCATAGCTAACTCCCACTTAGTTGAATCACCAACCTGCACTGCTTCACTACAAGAAAAATGCCTATTTACAACATTATATTTACAATATGTGGAATTAGATGTTGTAAAATGTACTTTTAACAACATTCACTATAGCATCTTGTAAAAGTTGTCAAGAACAGCGGTTCCTACACCTTCTGGTTCACCACCATCAGACAACAACAAATAGTGTAAAGAAGGCGAGAAACGCTGCGTAGGTTTGGAGACTCTGGAGGATCGTCTTAATGCAGTAATAGGTGTGATTTGTTCCACCTGTGGAATAATATTTTTTGGATTGTTCTGAACTCTACTCTGCACATCTTCCTCGGAGATTTTCTCCAACTCAACAAACTCATCATTTTTAACATGAACACCTGCATTAGTAAAATCTAATGCTAACATATCCTTATACATTACTTTCTCATTGAACACGACATCTCTGCTTCTAATTATCTTTCGGTTTTGCCAATAACCAAACTCATCAGTACCATACCTAATAAAAGTACATTTTTTTTTTACTTTGGATCAAGCTTGCTCCTAGCATCAGAACTTATATGTACATATGAAACACAGCCAAACACTTTCAGATGTGAAAGATTTACCTCTAAACTGCTCCAAGCCTCCTCTGGTAAGCCTTCGTCCAAAGGAACAGAAGGTCCTCGATTGATCAAGTATGATATAGTGTTAATTGCATCAGCCCAAAACATCTTAGGCAATCCATCATGTATCCTCATACTCAGAGCACGCTCATTCAAGGTTCTTTTTAAGCATTCTGCAACCCCATTTTGTTATGGGGTTTTAGGAACAGTCTTCTCTATTCTGATCCCATTAATAGCACAAAACTCTTTGAAGCCTCTGTCTTCATACTCACCACCATTATCAGACCTCAAACACTTCACCTTCAAGCCTGTCTCATTCTCCACCATGGCCTTCCACTTCTTGAAAGTATCATATACTTCAGATTTATTTTTCAAAAAATAAATCCATACCTTTCTCGTAGAATCATCGATAAATGTAACATAATACAATGAGCCACCAAGAGATGAAACTGGAAAAGGCCCCCACACGTTTGTATGAACCAACTCTAATTTCTTTATCTTAGGTGTCCTACCAACCTTTGAAAAACTGACCCTCTTTTGTTTCCCGAAGATATAATCCTCACACAAACTAATTTCAACTGATTTAATAACTGACAGTTTTCCTTTCGACAGAAGTACCTTCATCCTTTTCTCACTCATATGACCTAGTCTACAATGCCACAAGTTTGAATCTATGCCAGCATCAGCAACAATAATGGCGTTCTTGGTGTCTGTTGTCATGTATAGAGTACCTGTCTTGCTTCCACGAGCCACGACCAAGGATCCCTTAGTGATTTTCCACAAGCCACCTATAAAATTAACTGCATGCCCATCGTCATCAAGTTGTCCCATAGAGATCAAATTTCTCTTCAAGCCAGGAACATGCCTCACATTCTGAATCTTCCATACAGCCCCATTAGATTGTCTGATCCGATCATCACATTTACCCACAATATTCAAAGGCTCATAATCAGCTAGATAAACCTTTCTAAAATCACCACTAACATAATTTTCCATGATTTCACGATGCGAGGTAGAGTGAAAGGATGCACCTGAGTCTAGAACCCAAAACTCAACCGGACTATCTACACGCAAAATTAAAGCATCAACAATCTCTTCTCTGACGGCGTTTACAGATTCTTGTTTTCCTTCGCTCTTCTTCTTTGGTGCTCTATACTCAAACCTTAAATGCCCCTTCTTTCCATAGTTCCAGTAGGTTCTAATTTTTGACTTGCTTCTGTGTTTGGATTTGGATTTACTGCGATCCGAGTCTGATCTTTCAGAAGTTCTTCCTCTACCCTCGGTATTGAAAATAGATCCAGATGATTCCCCTGTTTCCCTTCTGCGAATATCTTCGCTGAGGATCAAGTCTCGAACATCATCAAATTTCAATTTTCTTTTTTCTGAAGAACTACTCATTGCTGTAACAGTACCATTCCAGCTTTCTGGTAAGGAGGATAAGAGAAGCAGCGCTTTAGTCTCATCATCAAACTCGATCTTTGCAGAGCTTAACTGAGTTGTAACAATGTTAAACTCGTTCAGATGGTCAGTTATTAAAGCGTCTTCTGACATTCTTAGGTTTAATAATCGCCGTATCAAATATACCTTATTAAACGCAGTAGGTTTCTTATACATATTTGAAAGGGCAGTCATCAAACCTACTGTTGTCATCTCATTTGCTATGTTGAAGGAAATGTTACGCGACAGTGTCAATCGAATGACCCCTAGTGCCTGCCGATCAAGAAGAGCCCAATCATCATCATTCATCTCTTCTGGTTTCTCTCCGAAAAAAGGCTGATACAACTTCTTTTGATACAGATAATCCTTAATCTGCATCTTCCAGAACTCGAAATCTGCACCATTGAACTTGTCGATCTTGATCTTTCATTCTTCTGTACCCATTGCTCCCACTCGAACCTAATGGCTCTGATACTTGTTGTTGCGAAATCAAACAGAAAACTCAAGAAATAGACCAAACACACACACAACAAGAGCACACAGATTTTAGTTGGTTTACCCAAAATCTAGGGCTACGTTCAAGGGTTGCAGGGATTTCACTATGATGATAAAAAAAACAGCCACAGATATAGAGAGTTCCGTATGAATAAATACTCTTGCACTAGGGCAACATAGCAAGTGCGAAAATAACCAAAATACCCTCCAAATAAGTTGGGCCTTGGTGAACAGTATCTATCAGACTCCACACTACCCATCAGTTATGGTATTCATCAAATTAAAAAATCAAATGAAATATAAGTATGACATCACATCTCTTACATATTCAAAATACTAAACTCGAATGTTTAGTTAGTCTCTTAGGACGTAAACAATCCAAACTTAACCCGCGATATTGCGACACTCCCTAAGTAAGAGATTGTGAGCGTAGCAATGTCGTAACAAATACAATTTTTCATCTGAAATCCTGTATATCAAAGATCACGAAAATAATTCTATTACAATAAATAATAACACGTGTAACGTAAAATACACCTTGTTGAGTAAATTGTCCTTAAAAAACTCTCACTATTCACAGTTATCACAAAATATATTTCTATACTCTATCTTTTAAGAATAATGATGGTATATATCAAATTTTAAAAATTAAATGAAGTACATGCATAAAATTTGCATCCCTAAATTAAATATGACTAAACTCAAATGTTCCAAGTTACTCTCAAGTACAAACAATTGGAATTTAATCATTATATATTGCACAATCTACAAGGAATATTGAAGCGATATTGAGACACTCACGACCATGCCCACTATGGAGTTTATGAATGTCGCACCGACTTAACAAATATAATTTTACAACAAATGTCACATAAAGAATTCTATTGAAAAAAAGCACACACGCACACAATACACACTTCTTTTTGAAATTTTTTTCAAGGACTCATCAACGTTAAAGTACAATCAACTAGGTACATGTCCCTTTCCAAGCAATCACTCTTTATTAGACAACTAAAAATCTGGCGGATTGATCGGCGGTTCACTTCACTCACAACTGCCAATGACCCGAGAAGCTTCCTCCATTCTACTACCGCCAACTAAAACGTTGCATTTAGTGGGCCCACCAAACTTAACAAATTAAACAAGAGGATGTTTAGAAAATCAAATGTATGACTTTTTCAGTATTATTAGGTTGCTTTGGACTTCAGAAAAGAAAAAAAAAATATTGATAAATAGCTAATAAATGTGCTTTCGTATGTCAATGAAGTTTGGAATTTAAAATTAATACTTAAAACTACTACGCGAGGACTAATCAAATTTGATAAATAGCAAATAAATTATAGTAATGACATCAAAGAAAACAAGTCAAACATGAGAGTTGAAAATTTTTCAAAACTATTAATCGCACCGAAATAAATTCTATATGAATTACACTTCCACATTCAACGACTTTAAAAATATATATTATTCACAAGAGTGAAACAAAGAGGCAAATCAAAGGGTGATTGTTCCACCTTTTCCATGAAAGTAACATCTTTAAATTTTGAAAAGTTCTTACAATTTTATTAATATTAAAAAATTATAAATAAATAATTAATTAATTAAATTAATCCATGTAGCCACTATATAACCTCAGTATGAAACCCAACTACTAAGTCCAAGTTCAGCCCACATTTTCACCAAACTTCCATTGTTACTTCACTGCCCCTGAATAAACCCAACATTTTTGACAGCACGGTTTCGTCTTCACACAGCTTATGACTTTTGTGTGTGTTTCTCTCTGTCTCAATCGATAGTCGATGATCGAAGACCAGGCTCTACACAACCAACCTCCAGGTGCGAACACGTAAAAGAATTCAAGCAAATCTCTCTCTAGTCATTTTTTATTCTCTCTCTCTATTCTCCTCTTCTCTATTCTCCTCTTCTTTAAATATACATATATATCACAATTGGTTTCAGAGCAATCTGGTTTCAATTCAGCCTGATTCCCGTGAAACTTATACCCAGTTCAAATGGGTTCTTCTTCTAATTATGTTTTGATTTCTGGGTACTTGGTTTTTCTGATATTGATTTGGGGTTCGCAGAGCTGTGATGGGTTTGGTACGTTCGACTTCACTATCCACCACAGGTACTCTGACCCGGTTAAGGGGATTCTGGACCTCGATGGCTTGCCGGAGATGGGTAGTCGCCAGTACTATGCTGCTATGGCCCACCGTGATCGCTTCATCCGGGGACGTGGCCTCGCCGACGCCGTCAATTCCACCCATCTCACTTTCATGGACGGTAACGAGACTTATCGGATCAGTTCGCTGGGATTGTATGACTTCTTTGTCCTTTACTTAATTTTAATGTGAGATAGTATTGATCTGTTGCACAATTCTAATGGATCTTGGATTAGACCCTGTTTGTTTGGAGAGAAAATTGATAGGACAATGATAAACCCTTTTTAGCTATAGTTTGTGTGTGTGTGTGTGTGTGTGTGTGTGTATATTGGTTGGAATTTGAGTAGATTGCTGTGATTTGTTGCACAATTCTAATGGATCTTGGATTAGTCCCTGTTTGATTGGAGAGAAAATTGAAAAGATAATGATATTTCTTTTTATAAGATTCTCCTTCTAGAGCTATTTTGATTAGAGTAATGCTATTGTGACCTCTCTTTAAAGAGTCATGGGCTCTCCTTATTGTCCATTAAATTTGAGAATACAAAAAGGTTATTACACACAGTCTCAATCATATGGTTGGTAAAGAGCGATCGTGACTCTTATTATGTGAAAGTATTTAAATATCAATTTGGTTTAAAATGAAGAAGAGAAGTAATGCCAAAAGGAATTTACCCATCTGAATAATTAGATATTTGGAGATTTTGCGAAGCATCTAAATAGAAATAATAAATTTTATGTTAAAAGTCCATTCTGTTTGTATAACATTCATTTTCCTGCCTAGCTAGTTCAGATCATGATATGAATTGAACATTTAATTTGATATCCCATTAATGATTTGATTCTAATAACTAGTTAGTGGTAAATCATATTCAATCATGCGTCGACATGATATGCTTTAGGCAGGGTTGGGGTTTAGGTATTGGTTTTATTAGTTCTTAGGCATTGTAAGCACATCAATTCCTGATTTTCTTTTTGTTTTTTTTTTTTTTACTTACTTTGTTGGTCTTTTTCTCAAAAAGTAAAAAAAATAAAAATGCAGACCCGATGTTGCGTATAGGGTTGAAAGGAAAGTGTTTTGGTACTAGAAATTTTAAATCGGGGTTTAGAGTTTCATTTTATGATTCTCAGTTATGGCTATCTTTATTGTAATTTGCAGTTTGCACTATGCCAATGTTTCTGTGGGGACGCCAGCTTTATATTTTCTTGTGGCGCTTGACACTGGTAGCGACCTGTTTTGGTTACCATGCGATTGCACCAGTTGTGTGCGTGGCTTAAAGACACGGGCTGGAGATGTATGTTGAATTATTTTGAATTTTAGTATTGCTTCCTCTGCAGAATGCATGTCCTTTTTTCACATGATAATAAATGCATCACTTGTCAAAATTGCTTTATATATAGATATTTTGTATGCTTCATGAGAAGGATTTTTCTTCTAACATGACTACATTTTGATATCATTTTTTATGCTAAGAAACTATGATTTAACTTCCTATCGCAACTTAGAATCATTTTCATTTTACCACTGGACCATTGACCTAGGTTGTATATGCTCTCCTCCCAAAGGGGAGGTGAGGGTTCAAGCCTCGTAGTGGGGCTTTTGTGGAGGTGTGTGATTGTGTGTGAAAGTATTTACCTAACCAAAAAATGTTTAAAAACTTGTGTTTCATTTTATGGGTAGGTTGGTTCAGGTCAATTGGAGCTTATTGGTTCCTGAGAAAATTTAATATTTTCCTTTTAACTCTGCCCAGGCTTGTAATCAGTTCTGAACTCTATTTTTCTTTTGATTTTCTTTTATTTTTTGTCACAACCAGCATTATGCCTTAATGTTCTGCACATTTAACTATATGTATCATCATATTACCGTGTCCATCCTTTAAGGTTCATAGTAAATTCTACCAATATTAGTTTCTAGTGGAATTGTCGAAGTCAGCTCCTTCTCTCTGTGACTTAATTTAGGTTATTGAAAGGCTAATCTAGTCTATTATAAAATTCTTTTCCAACTTGAATTGCAACTAGTCTGGTTCACTTATATGCTTCATTTGTTAATCAGTTGTTCAAATGACAAAGTTCCATGAGATAACGTGCTAATTATTGTAATTAGCTGTGAACTATGCTGAATGAGACTCATTTTATTTTGTTATAGCATATGGCATTGCCTTTGGCAAATAATATTTCATTCTTTGTGTTAAAAGTTTTAATCCTAATGTTTTATTAATGATATATGTTATTTAATATTATTATCTTGACAATTACTTAACATCTTTGTAAAACAGGTAATAGACCTTAGTATTTACAGCCCTAATACCTCATCGACAAGCACGAGGGTTTCCTGCAACAGTACATTGTGTAGTCAACAAAGTCGATGCTCTGCGTCACGCAACACTTGTCCCTATCAAGTTAGGTATCTTTCTAATGGTACTTCCTCTACTGGTCTATTGGTAGAGGATGTGTTGCACTTAACTACAGATGACAGTCAACTAAAAGCTGTTGAGCGACAAGTTACGTTTGGGTGAGTAAACTCTCATATTACTTTTCCATTAAATAATAATTGGACCCTCCCTCTGCTTTATGGAAGTCCACCAAGATTGCCAACATTAAAAATGAATAACATGGTACTGTTATTTCTATGGATTTTATGTCAAAACTCAAAATGCAGGATAAATTTATATCATTTATGTAATTTTGTTTTAAAACTTAAAACTACAATTTTAGAAATTGCCACAAGGCCTCCAACGTTGTTAAAATCGCGATTCTAGATCGTAGAATCGTACCTAGCACCCCAAATCGATTTAAATCCCACATAAATCGTATTTGTGGTAGAATCGTAGATTCAGGTTTTTTTTTTTTTCATGGTTGATTGTGATTTTTCAGTGAATATAGGGGATGAGTTTTCTGGGATTGTTGTTCTATTTTTAACTTTTGATTCTTGGCTTCTTGGTTTTAATTTTCTTTAGTTTTGACCTAATAAATTGTTACTTGGTAGTAGACTATTTACTATTAATTCATGTTTAATGTTCATATAATGAAAATTTGTTCATTCATTCCTGTAGTACAATGCAGATATTTTTGTTTATCACCCAATTTTTATATAAAGAATGTTAGTTACTTGTTTATTATTATTTTGGATTTACTTTTTAACAAACCTCAGTCGATTCCTCTTGTACCTACTACCTAGCATCTAATGCAAGTTAGTATTGTCTCTCAAGATTCAAATTGAATTGATGTTGCATAGTTTTCATGCGAGATCTACCTTTTGAACTACATTCTCTATGATATATATGTATGTATGTATTTATCCCAAGATGTATGTAGCTATACTTGGAAATGATACTTTTATACATTTTTTTTTGTGTTTAGGGTTATTCTTGCTATATTTTAGAGATATCACTGTTTAAGAAGTTAGTTTGAATTATTTTTCTAGTAGTTTGGTGGAATCTTACGATTCTCAATCCGATTCTACGGAGCCCCCAACGATCCTACATAGAATCCTGATCCTGACAACCTGCTTAAAATTGATTCTTCTTCTTCTTCACTAGAACCTTCGAATTTGTACTGCTTTCATATACTAATTTTTAGTGTTTCTTGCCCTTTCCTCAGTATATTGATGTTCATCTAGTAAATTTTTCTGCCCACAATCACTTATGATCTTGCTGTGCGACATTGATGGCAGCTGTGGTATTATTCAAACTGGTTCGTTCTTGGACGGTGCTGCTCCCAATGGTCTGTTTGGGCTTGGTATGGAAAATATATCTGTTCCTAGCATTTTAGCAAGTGACGGGCTTGTTGCGAATTCCTTTTCCATGTGTTTTGGACAAGATGGAATTGGTAGAATCAGTTTTGGAGATAAAGGTAGCTCAGACCAAGGAGAAACACCATTCAATCTTGATGAATTACAGTGAGTAGACACTTTCATTTGCACAATGCATCTGTTTAGCATCTTGACTATCTATCTTTCTTTGACTGAATTGACATGCCAGTTGTTCTGACTTTATTTTCTTTGGAATGTTTCACCAGTCCAACTTACAATATCAGCGTGACACAAATAATTACGGAGAAGAAAACCACTAATCTTAGTTTCGATGCAATATTTGACACTGGTACCTCATTCACATACTTAAAAAACCCAGCTTATGCAGAGATTTCTGAGAGTGTAAGTGGTTCATATAATGAACTTTCTATATCAACCAGATATTAATTGTTGACTTCATAATTATAATTAACTTTTGTTACTTTGCAGTTCAATTCCCGTATCCGAGACAAACGGGACACATCTAATTCCAGTCTTCCTTTTGAATATTGTTACGAAATAAGGTCGATTTTCTTTGGATATTTGCTTCATCTAATTGCTTTTTTCCCTTCTTTTTATTTTTTTGGGAGGAGGTTTGCAGAGGCTATGGGCTAAATCAATAGCCAAGCACTACTTCCCCACCCTCCAACCAAACATTATCTCTTGCATGACTAACAAGAGTTGTTACTAGCTAGGCTACCTGGAACTTTAATACTTTTTTCTTATTGAATCCTCAATAATCGTCTCTTTCTCTACATACAGTGAAAATCAAACGACCATTGACATTCCCAATTTGAATTTAACGATGAAAGGGGGAAGTCAATTTTATGTTTCTGATCCCATAGTTATAGTTCCTCCTCTTCAGGTAAAGTTTCATTTTTTGTGTTTTAAATCCTACTCCTGCCTCTGGATGTTCTAAATTGTGTTTTTACTATTTCCAGAGTGGACCATATTTATATTGTTTGGGCCTTCTCAAGAGTGGGGATATAAGTATCATTGGACGTGAGTATATGTTTCACATTGCTTATTTCAAGGAATTTACTGCTTATATTAATGTTAATCCTATGCCCATGTATCGTTTCCATTTTTCTATGGATATATTTATCTAGAGACTTTTGAAGAATTGTCATTTACTAATTCTTCTCAAGCATACTCTTTACATGGGATTGTGTTTTCTTTCGTTACTTAGCCCGTGTTTGTTGTTACTTGTTAATGAAACATAGATCTTGGAAATGGGTACCAAATATTCCCAATATTGTTTTTAGATGAAAGAAGGATTTTGCAAAAAATCCTATAATCTTTCAAATGTAAGGGAGTTTCTGTAAGAGTAGATTTTTGTTGATGCCGTCGTTGGCTGAATTGCGGGTTATACATACTTCATTCTTGTTTACAGTATCCACAAAAATCCTGTAGTAAAGACCATAATAACAAAGGAAAAGGCAGAAGGCTCCTGCTAAACCGACTTCATACCATATTCCAAATCAGAGATTAATGTAAATGAGACACAGACAGAGAAACTAAATGCCTTCCATTAGAAACCTTCTTGATGACAAACGGAGGCATCAACCTTTCCTTGGTTTCAGATTTTTTAAATGGTTTATTGGATTTACTTTGCTTTATATATAAGCGAGTGTGATAAATGTATATGTTATGTGTTATTGCATTCACATTTCCATTGAGAAATAGTTCCTAGTACAGTAATATTAAATTCTTGTTTTTTATCCAGAAAACTTCATGACAGGCTACCGTATTGTTTTTGATCGTGAGAAGATGGTCTTGGGCTGGAAAGAATCCGACTGTGAGTACATTATATTGTTATTAATTAGACTGTGTGTGTGTGTGTGTGTGTGTAGCTTTTGTATTGACAAGAAGTGTTGTCTCAGGTTATGATTCTAAAAAATCCAACACTCTACCAATCGCCCCACGAAGCTCCACTGCAGTTCCTCCTAGTACTGCTCCCGGTGCTACTGTTGTACCAGAAGCGACATCTAATCCTGGTAATGGTTCCCCAAATTCCAGTCCTTCAACTGTGCCGCCGCCATCCAATTATTCACCCCGCTTGAGTTCCTTCACTTGCACAGTCTTGATGGTCTCCTTTTCTCTCTTTATCCATTGTTTCATCATTCTTTTCTCCTGAGTTTTTCCAGGCATAGTATTGTATTTTATTGTCATTTGTTTGAGATGTAATACACCACAGATTGGAGGCATTGTTGGCTTCCTTTTTTTCAGCATCAACACAAACCTTGGGTTGTATATATGGTTTTGATCATCAACATATCTTTGTATAACAATAGAGAGAGATCATTTATATACCAATTTTTTTTTTTTTTTTTATGAATTTAAATATTAAAGTTACACTCTCTCGAGTTTAAAACTCACCGTCACTTTTTTGGTTTTTGCATATTGAATTATTGATAATTACACTAATTTACTTTCTAAAAGTGATACTTGTCACAAGTTCCATTGGATGGTTGTAATGGAATATGACATTTTACTATTATGCCCTTGACATTATATATATTGTTTTACTTGACAAAGTCAACTTCTTATGAGAAGATCAGGGGTAAATTTGGTATTTTGTAAATCTCATTTTTACCGAAAGAAAATTTCATTGTTGACTACATGTTGATTATTAAGAGAAGGGATCGGTTTGCAATTTATGAATTAGTGCCCTTTTATTTTTTTGGCAAAGATATGGAATATCTCATGGATGTTCGATTCATTTGTCCCCCACTTCTTATCTTCTTCCGCTCAGTTTGTTTCGTAAAATATTTTCTTCGATTTTTTTTGTTTTTTTAGGTTAAATATTTGTATTAATTTTATTATTCGGTGCCTGGTCTAAGTTGGGGTCGAGTACTCGAGTATATCGGACAGAACATGTAAAATAATTTGTCGAAAATTTATAGGTAAATTACTTTTGTTAGATTTTAATTTTTTTTTCTTTGTAAATATAATACGTCAACCAAAATCAAAAAATAAAAATATATTTTCTGAAAAATATTTTACATCCAAACAGAGCCTTCCTTTTTTCTTTTCTTTTTTTAGGGTGTGCATATCCACAAGGTCAAATATCCACTACAAAATTACAGACAATTTACTAATAAACTCTTGCTGTTCATGAGTTTTTCCAATTCATTTTCTGCACTTTAACAAAAGCACAAAATAGTTCATCATTCTGGTTTCAAACTTGTTTTAGAAGGATCATAATAGTATGTAAGTAATCTCTATACAATATCTCAAATATATATTATTATCACGTCTCATTAACAAAATTCTTGAAGCCCAAAGTCAAAGCCGGTCGCAACAGTTGAAACGCAACTTTTGTCAAAGCATACAAAACAAAAATCATACAAATACTGTCTTCAAATCAATCTAAGAAAATTCAATCACACAAGCTACAGGATCTCAAATTCTCAATCTTCAGTTGCAGACATTGGCTTTGAAGAATGGTCCCTCGCTAAGAAATTGTGATCGTATCAATGTCGTAACAAAATACTATTCACAATTATCACAAAATATATTTCTATACTCTAGGAATAATGATGGTATATATCAAATTTGAAAAATCAAATGAAGTACAAGCATAAACATTGCATCCCTAAATTAAATATCTAAAATACTAAAACTCAAATATTCCAAATTACTCTCAAGTGCAAACAATTCGAATTTAATTGTTATATATTGCACAATCTGCGGAGAATATTGAAGCACCTTACGATATTGAGACACTCATTATCATGCCCACTGTGAGGTTATGAGTGTCGCCCCGTCCCAACAAATACAATTTTTCATCTTGTATATCAAATATCACAGAAAAAATTCTATTGAGAAAGAAAAAAAAAAAAACACATACAGCTGCAAATGAACCGAGATATTCATGAACAGCCCGAACTCGACTCGTTAAGGGCTCGGTTTGGTCTAGTTCATTTAGTTAATGAGCCAGCTTGAGCACAAATTCTGAGCTCTTTTAATAAACGAGCCGATCGCGAACAATATTAGGCTTGGCTTGTAAACAGGTTCGTTTATCAGTAATTTATAAAGTTTTGATCCAGCCCAATAAATTTGTTCCATTAAACAACATAAGCCCAGATGTATAGTACATTCCTATTATCTAAATGAAAAATCCAAAGACAAAATGGCCCATATTTCAATTTAAAGGCCCAACTGACCTACCCATTAATGTTGACACATAACAGACCTAATCTTTATACGTATCATTATCTGCAACGATGCGCAGCGCATCCCCATTTTGCCTCTCGATCTTTCATTCTTCTTCTTGTCACGCTGCAACAATCGGCGACGTTCTTCTACTTGTTACTCTCTGCAACGATCGGCGACCACCAGCCTCTCCCTTCACCGGTCCTTTAGTATTTCGTATTCTTTTGGGAAAACAAAGGACGAATCATGAAATTAATTGCAAAAAATGAACGATGCACAACTGTTGATGATATCAGACAACCTCAGCCTTAAGGTATGCCGTATGCATATACATATAACTATACATCTATAACTCAACACACAATTTGTTTGTGTTATGTGTAGACACTCATATGTTGTGTATTATATATGTGTATGCCCGAACCGAGTCGAGCTTGTGCTTGGCTAGGTCAAGCTCGCCCGAGCCCGAGCACCTCTCAGATTGTAGCGAGCCGGGCCCGAGCATGCCAAAGCTCGGCATTTGCAGCCCTTGACACACACAATACACACAAATTTTCTTCAAGGACTCACTTAACCTTAAAATAGTGTGCCCACCAAACTTGACAAATTTAACAAGAGGGTGTTTAGAAATTCAAATGTCATCAGTCTCATCTAACTTTAATGACAGCTTAATGCTATGTTCGGTAGGAAAGAAAAATGCAACCAAATAGGTACATGTCCCTTTTCCGGCAATCACTCTTTATTAGACAACTAAATTAGGCTGATTGATCGGCAGTTGACTTGACTTACAACTGCCAATGACCCGAGAAGCTTCCTCCTCTTGTTCTGTTGCATTCTACTACCCCAACTAAAACGTTGCATTTAGTGGGCCCACCAAACTTAAACAAATTTAACAAGAGGATGTTTAGAAAATCAAATGTCATTAGTCTTTTCTGACTTTAATGACTGCTTAATGCTATGTTCGGTGGGAAAGAAAAATACAACCAACTAGGTACATGTCCCTTTTCAAGCAATCACTCTATATTAGACAACTAAAATAGGCTGATTGATCGGCAGTTGACTTGACTCACCAATGACCCGAGAAGCTTCCTCCTCTTGTTCTGTTGCATTCAAATGTCATCAGTCTTATCTGACTTTAATGACAGCTTAATGTTATGTTCGGTAGGAAAGGAAAAAATTGAGTGGAAGGGAGAGAAGAAGGGATGGATGAGACATTCTTAGGGAAGAGATTATGTAATTCTTTCTTTTTGTTTAGTTGGAGAATAAAATGTTTGTTAGGAGATAAGGAAAGAAAAAGTTTTATTTGTTTTTACCATTATATCCAATAATATTTATAATATTGTAATTCATAAAGGATAGTATTGTAATTTAAAACTTGTATAATTTTTGTCATTGCTGAGAAGTCTTTACATAAAAATCTCATTGCTGGGTACACCAAATGTTGAGAAGGTTTTATATAAAAATCAAATGTCCGCATTATTGATTAATTAAAACTTGTATAATTTATGTCGTTGCTGAGAAGTCTTTACATAAAAATCTCATTGCTAGGTCCACCAAATGTCCACAATACTGATTAATTACTTCTTCTGCGAGCCTCCTCGCAGGTTCGTCTAAGCAACATTCTTGAATTCCACAACTCTTGCCAAACTCATGTCATCAGTCTTATCTGACTTTAATGACAGCTTAATGTTCTGTTCGGTAGGAAATAAAAAAATTGAGTGGAAGGGAGAGAAGAATGGATGGATGAGACATTCTTAGGGAAGAAATTATGTAATTCTTTCTTTTTGTTCGGTTGGAGAATAAGCTTATAATTTACTATATTCGTTAGGAGAGAAAGAAAGAAAAAGTTTTAATTATTTTACCATTATATCCAATAATATTTATAATATTATAATCTATAGAGGATAGTATTATAATTTAAAACTTGTATAATTTTTGTCATTGCTGAGAAGCCTTTACATAAAAATCTCATTGCTAGGTCCACCAAATGTTGAGAAGTCTTTACATAAAAATCAAATGTCCACATTACTGATTAATTAAAACTTGTATAATTTATTTCATTGCTAAGAAGCCTTTACATAAAAATCTCATTGCTAGGTCCACCAAATGTCCACATTACTGATTAATTACTTCTTCTACGAGCCTCCTCGCAGGTTCGTCTAGGTTGTATCCTTGAATTTCACAACTCTCGCCAAACTCATGTCATCAGTCTTATCTGACTTTAATGACAGCTTAATGCTCTGTTTGGTAGGAAAGAAAAAAATTGAGTGGAGAGGAGAGAAGAAGGGATGGATGAGACATTCTTAGGGAAGAGATTATGTAATTCTTTCTTTTTGTTCAGTTGGAGAATAAACTTATAATTTACTATGTTCGTTAGGAGAGAAGGAAAGAAAAAGTTTTAATTGTTTTTACCATTATATTCAATAATATTTATAATATTGTAATCTATAGAGGATAGTACTGTAATTTAAAACTTGTATAATTTTTGTCATTGCTGAGAAGTCTTTACATAAAAATCTCATTGTTAGGTCCACCAAATGTCCACATTACTGATTAATTACTTCTTCTGCGAGCCTCCTTAGATTCGTCTAGGACTCTAGGCTGCATCCTTGAATTCCACAACTCTCGTCAAACTCATGTCATCAGTCTTATATGACTTTAATGACATCTGAATGCTCTGTTCGGTAGGAAAGAAAAAAATTGAGTGGAAGGGAGAGAAGAAGGGATGGATTAGACATTCTTAGGGAAGAGATTGTGTAATTCTTTCTTTTTGTTCTGTTGGAGAATAAACTTATAATTTACTATATTCGTTAGAAGAAAAGGAAAGAAAAAGTTTTAATTGTTTTTATCATTATATCTAATAATATTTATAATATTGTAAGCTATAGAGGATAGTACTGTAATTTAAAACTTGTATAATTTTTGTCATTGCTGAGAAGTCTTTACATAAACATCTCATTGCTAGGTCCACCAAATGTTGAGAAGTCTTTACATAAAAATCAAATGTCTACATTACTGATTAATTAAAACTTGTATAATTTATGTCATTGCTGAGAAGTCTTTACATAAAAATCCCGTTGCTAGGTCCACCAAATGTCCACATTACTGATTAATTGCTTCTTCTGCGAGCCTCCGAGCAGGTTCGTCTAGGCTACATCCTTGAATTCCACAACTCTCACCAAACTCACGACATCAGCCTTATCTAACTTTAATGACAGCTTAATTCTCTGTTCGGTAGGAAAGAAAAAAAATTGAGTGGAAGGGAGAGAAGAAGGGATGGATGAGACATTCCTAGGGAAAAGATTGTTTAATTTTTTCTTTTTGTTCGGTTAAAGAATAAACTTATAATTTAATATGTTCGTTAGGAGAGAAGGAAAGGAAAAGTTTTAATTGTTTTTACCATTATATCAAATAATATTTATAATATTCTAATCTAAAGAGGATAGTATTGTAATTTAAAATTTCTAAAATAGTCCACTTGTCTTCTCTCTTTTCTTCTGCGCATTTTTGGGCGGATGAAAATTTGTAAAGGAGGAATGATATATCATCCTTCCCATTCTCTTTTCTTTCCTTATATCATCTCAACTGAATAAAAAAAAAATAAAATAAAATAAAAAAATAAAAAAAAAAATTGTTTTTTCCGTCCTATTTTCTCTCTACACCTCTCCCTTCCTTGCTACCAAACACAGCATAAAAGAATATGATATTGTAAAGAGTGAAACAAAGAGTCAAATCAAAAGGCACGCCGGTAATTGTTCCACCTTTTCCATGGATATAACATCTTTAAATTTTGAAAAGTTCTTACAATTTTATTAATATTAAAAAACTATAAATAAATAAATAAAAATTAAATTAATCTATGTAACCATTATATAACCTCAATTTGACACCCAACTACTAAGTCCAAGTTCAGCCCACATTTTCACCAAACTTCCATTGTTACTTCACTGGCCCCCTGAATAAATGGTTTGAACCCAACATTTTTAACAGTTGACTATAAGCCCAAAAAATTAAAATTAAAATTAAAAATAATACGGTAACCTCCAGGTGCGAACGCGTCAAAGAATTCAAACAATTCACTCTCTCTATTCTCCTCTTCTTTGAATATACATATATATATTCTCTGCTCATTCATTTCCACAAACAGTTTCAGAGCAATCCGGTTTCAATTCAACCTGATTCCCGTGAAACTTATACCCAGTTCAAATGGGTTCTTCTTCTAATTATGTTTTGATTTCTGGGTACTTGGTTTTTCTGATATTGAATTGGGGTTCACAGAGCTGTGATGGGTTTGGTACGTTCGACTTCACTATCCACCACAGGTACTCCGACCCGGTTAAGGGGATTCTGGACCTCGATGGCTTGCCGGAGATGGGTAGTCGCCAGTACTATGCTGCTATGGCCCACCGTGATCGCTTCATCCGGGGACGTGGCCTCGCCGACACCGTCAATTCCACCCATCTCACTTTCATGGACGGCAACGAGACTTATCGGCTCAGTTCGCTGGGATTGTATGACTTCTTTATCCTTTACTTAATTTTAATGTGTTTTTAGCTATAGTTTAATTTTTGATATGGAATATTTAAGTAGATAGTATTGATTTGTTTCACAATTCTAATGGATCTTGGATTAGACCCTGTTTGATTGGAGAGAAAATTGATAGGACAATGATATTTACCTTTTTAGCTATAGTTTAATTATATATATATATATATATTGGTTGGAATTTGAGTAGATAGCTGTGATTTGTGGCACAATTCTAATGGATCTTGAATTAGTCCCTGTTTGATTGGAGAGAAAATTGAAAGGATAATGATATTACTTTTTATAAGATTCTCCTTCTAGAGCTATTTTGATAGTAATGCTATTGTGACCTCTTTAAAGAGTCATGGGCTCTCCTTATTGTCCATTAAATTTGAGAATACAAAAAGAAAACTTTGAAAGGATGTTATTACACACTGTCTCAATCATATGGTTGGTAAAGAGAGCTCGTGACTCTTATTATGTGAACGTATTTAAATATCAATTTGGTTTAAAATGAAGAAGATAAGTAATGCCAAAAGGAATTTACCCATCAGAATAATTAGATATTTGGAGATTTTGTGAAGCATCTAAATAGAAATAATAAAATTTTAATTTTATGTTAAAGTCCATTCTATTTGTAGAGCATACATTTACGTGCCTAGCTAATTCAGATCATGATATGAATTGAACATTTAATTTGATATCCCATTAATGATTCGATTCTAATAACTAGTTAGTGGTAAATCTTATTCGATTGTGCATCGACATGATATGCTTTAGGCAGGGTTGGGGTTTAGGTATTGGTTTTATTAGTTCTTAGGCATTGTAAGCACATCAATTCCTGATTTTCTTTTCTTTTTTTTTTACTTACTTGTTTGGTCTTTTTCTCAAAAAGTTAAAAAAAATGCAGACCCGATGTTGCATATAGGGTTGAAAGGAAAGTGTTTTGGTACTAGAAATTTTAAATCGGGGTTTAGAGTTTCATTTTATGATTCTCAGTTATGGCTATCTTTATTGTAATTTGCAGTTTGCACTATGCCAATGTTTCTGTGGGGACACCAGCTTTATCTTTCCTTGTGGCGCTTGACACTGGTAGCGACCTGTTCTGGTTACCATGCAATTGCACCAGTTGTGTGCGTGGCTTAAAGACACGGGCTGGAGATGTATGTTGAATTATTTTGAATTTTAGTTTTGCTTCCTCTGCAGAATGCATGTCCTCTTTTCACATGATAATAAATGCGTCACTTGTCAAAATTGCTTTATATGTAGATACTTTGTATGCTTCATGAAAAGGATTTTTCTTTTAACATGACTACATTTTGATATCCTTTTTTATGCCAAGAAACTATGATTTAACTTCCTATCGCAACTTAGTTTCATTTTCATTGTACCACTGGACCATTGACCTAGGATGTATAAGCTCTCCTCCCAAATGGGAGGTGAGGATTCGAGCCTTGCAGTGGGGCTTTTGTGGAGGTGTGTGATTGTGTGTGAAAGTATTTACCTAACCAAAAAATGTTTAAAAACTTATGTTTCATTTTATGGGTAGGTTGGTTCAGGTCAATTGGAGTTTATTGGTTCCTGAGAAAATTTAATATTTTCCTTTTAACTCTGCCCAGGCTTGTAATCAGTTCTGAAGTCTATTTTTCTTTTGATTTTCTTTTATTTTTTGGCACAACCAGTATTTTACCTTAATGTTTTGCACATTTAACTATTTGTATCATCATATTACCACATCCATCCTTTAAGGTTCATATTAAACTTTACCAATATTAGTTTCTAGTGGAATTGTCGAGGAAGCTCCTCCTCTCCGTGACTTAATTTAGGTTATTGAAAGGCTAATATAGTCTATTATAAATTTCTTTTCCAACTTGAATTGCAACTAGTCTTGTTCACTTATCTGCTTCATTTGTTAATCAGTTGTTCAAATGGCAAAGTCCCATGAGATAAAGTGCTAATTATTGTAATTAGTTGTGAACTATGCTGAATGAGGCTAATTGTATTTTGTTCAAGTATATGGCATTGCCTTTGGCAAATAATATTTCATTCTTCGTGTTAAAAGTTTGAATCCTACTGTTTTATTAATGATATGTGTTATTTAAAATTATTATCTTGACAATTACTTAACATCTTTGTAAAACAGGTAGTAGACCTTAGTATTTACAGCCCTAATAACTCATCGACAAGCACGAGGATTTCCTGCAACAGTACATTGTGTCCTATTAAAAAAAGTCGATGCTCTGCGTCACGCAACACTTGTACCTATCGAGTTGTGTATCTTTCCAATGGTACTTCCTCTAATGGTATATTGGTAGAGGATGTGTTGCACTTAACTACAGAAGATAGTCATTTAAAAGCTGTTGAGCCACGAGTTACGTTTGGGTGAGTAAACTCTCATATTACTTTTCCATTAAATAATAATAGGACCTTCCCTCTGCTTTATGGGAGTCCACCAAGATTGTCAACATTAAAAATGAATAGCATGGTACTGTTATTTCTATGGATTTTATGTCAAAACTCAAAAGGCAAGATAAATTTATATCATTTATGTAATTTTGTTTTAAATTTTAAAACTACAACTTTAGAAATTGCCACAAATCCTCCAACACTTAACATCAATTGGCTTAAAATCAAGGTTGTTAAAATCGCGATTCTAGATCGTAGAATCGTACGATTCTACGATCCTAGCACCCCAAATCGATTTAAATTGCACATAAATCGTATTTGTGGTAGAATCGTAGATTCAGGTTTTTTTGTTTTTTTTTTTCTTCATGGTTGATTGTGATTTTTCAGTGAATATAGGGGATGAGTTTTCTGGGATTGTTGTTCTGTTTTTAACTTTTGGTTCTTGACTTCTTGGTTTTAATTTTCTTTAGTTTTGACCTAATAAATTTTTACTTGGTAGTAGACTATTTACTATTAGTTCATGTTTAATGTTCATATAATGAAAATTTGTTCATTCATTTCTTTAATACAATGCAGATATTTTTGATTGACAAAAACAGGGGTGTCTATCACCCAATTTTTATATAAATAATGTTAGTTACTTATTTATTTTTATTTTGGATTTACTTTTTTAACAGACCGAGGTCGATTCCTGTTGTACCTACGACCTAGCATCTATTGCAAGTTAGTATTGTCTCTCACGATTCAAATTAAATTGATGTTGCACAGTTGTCATGCAAGATCTACCTTTTGAACTACATTCTCTGTGATATATATGTATGAATTTATCCCAAGATGTATGTAGCTATACTTGGAAATGATACTATTATACATTTTTTTTTGTGTTTAGGGTTATTCTTGCTATATTTTAGAGATATCACTGTTTAAGAAGTTAGTTTGAATTATTTTTCTAGTAGTTTGGTGGAATCTTACGATTCTCGATCCGATTCTACGGAGCCCCCAACGATCCTACATAGAATCCCGATCCTGACAACCTTGCTTAAAATTGATTCTTCTTCATCTTTACTAGAACCTTCGAATTTGTACTGCTTTCATCTACTAATTTTTAGTGTTTCTTGTCCTTACCTCAGTATACTGATGTTCATCTAGTAAATTTTTCTGCCCACAATCACTTATGATCTTGCTGTGCGACATTGATGGCAGCTGCGGTATGATTCAAACTGGTTCATTCTTGGATGGTGCAGCTCCCAATGGTCTGTTTGGGCTTGGTATGGAAAATATATCTGTTCCTAGCACTTTAGCGAGTGATGGGCTTGTTGCGAATTCCTTTTCCATGTGTTTTGGACAAGATGGAATTGGTAGAATCAGTTTTGGAGATAAAGGTAGCTCAGACCAAGCAGAAACACCATTCAATCTGGGTGAATTACAGTGAGTAGACTCTTTCATTTGCACAATGCGTCTGTTTACCATCTTGACTATCTTTCTTTCTTTGACATGCCAATTGTTCTGATTTTATTTTCTTTGGAATGTTTCATCAGTCCAACTTACAATATCAGCGTGACACAAATAATTATGGAGAATAAAACCACTAATCTTAGTTTCGATGCAATATTTGATTCTGGTACCTCATTCACATACTTAAACAACCCAGCTTATGCAGAGATTTCTGAGAGTGTAAGTGGTTCATATAATGAACTTTCGATATCAACCAGATATAATTGTTGACTTCATAATTATAATTAACTTTTGTTACTTTGCAGTTCAATTCCTATATCCGAGACAAACGGGACACATCTAATTCCAGTCTTCCTTTTGAATATTGTTATGAATTAAGGTCGATTTTCTTTGGATATTTGCTTCATCTAATTGATTTTGTCCCTTCTTTTTATTTTTTATTTCTATTTTTTTGGGAGGGGATTGTGCAGAGGCTATGGGCTAAATCCATAGCCAAACACTACTTCCCCACCCTCCAACCAAACACAATCCCGACAAAAGTAGGGATCCTATACAGTATCTCTTGCATGACTAACAAGAGTTGTTACTAGCTAGGGCTTCCTGGAACTTTAATACTTTTTCTTATTGAATCCTCATTAATCGTCTCTTTCTCTACATACAGTGAAAATCAAACCACCATTGAAATTCCCAATTTGAATTTAACGATGAAAGGGGGAAGTCAATTTTATGTTTCTGATCCAAAGTTATAGTTTCAATTTCTCAGGTAAAGTCTCATTTTGTGTGTTTTAAATCCTACTCCTGCCTCTGGATGTACTAAAGTGTTTTTTACTATTTCCAGAGTGGACCATATTTATATTGTTTGGGCCTTCTCCAGAGTGGGGATATAAATATCATTGGACGTGAGTATATGTTTCACATTGCTTATTTCAAGGAATTTACTTCTTATATTAATGTTAATCCTACGGCCATTTGTTGGATTTACTTTGCTTTATATATAAGCGAGCGTGATAAATATGTGTTGTGTGATTGCATTCACATTTCCATTGAGAAATAGTTCCTAGTACAGTAATAACTTCTTGTTTTGTATCCAGAAAACTTCATGGCAGGCTACCGTATCGTTTTTGATCGTGAGAAGATGGTCTTGGGCTGGAAGGAATCTGACTGTGAGTACATTATACTGTTATTGATTAGACAGTGTGCGCGCGTGGGTGTGAAGCTTTTGTGTTAACAAGAAGTGTTGTCTCAGGTTATGATTCTAAAAACTCCAACACTCTACCAATCGACCCATGAAACTCCACTGCAGTTCCTCCTACCAGTACTTCTCCCGGTGCTACTGTTGTACCATAAGCGACATCGAATCCTGGTAATGGTTCCCCAAATTGCAGTCCTTCATAGTATTGTATTTTATTGTCATTTGTTTGAGATGTAATACACAACAGCTTGGCTTCCCTTTTTTCAGCATTAACACAAACCTTTGGTTGTGTATATATGGTTTTGATCATATCTTTGTATAACAATAGACAGATCATATATATACCAATTTTATTGTATGGATTTAATTATTAAAGTTAGACTGTCTCTAAGATTTAAGAGTAGATGGTGATTAACATGATATTAAAGTTAAATATCTCGAGATAAAACCTCACCGTCAATTTATTGGTTTTTGCATATTGGATTAGGTTTTTGCTTATTGGATTATCTTCGTGAGTTTTTCCATTTCATTTGCTGCACTATAACAAAAGCACAAAATGGTTCATCATTCTGGTTTCAAACTTGTTTTAGAAGGATCATAATAGTATGTAACTAATCTCTATACAATATCTCAAATATATATTATTATCATATCTCATTCACAAAATTCCTGAAGGCCAAGCTCAAAGCCGGTCGCAACACTTGAAATGCAACTCTTGTCAAAGAATGCAAAACAAAAATCATACAAATACAGGATCTCAAATTCTCAATCTTCAATTGCAGACATTGGCTTTGAAAAATGGTTCCTATCAAGTCTTTAAAAAGATGAGCTACAGCAATCCATTACTGTGATACAACATGAATTGAACTATTTAGTCACCTTGCTATGGAATGCTGTCTTTGTTATAATGCGATAGGAAAACTGGAATGGCCGGATCGACAATCACCTCCTTCACTGCTAACTTATGGCATTCCTTATGTCAAACTATTACGATCTCTGCTAGTTGAATATTGCCGCTTAACCCAGATGCCTTGCAAGATGGCAAGAACGAGAAGCCATCTACAAGCTTCGCGCACTTCAAACCCCATTTCACCATCAAGAACTCAATGAGATGATGCCCACTGCACAACATCATTAAAGAAATAATGAAAGGATGCCATTGTTTTTCCTTTATAGAAATCTTAGATGAGCGAGAGAAATGCATACTTTCCCGGTAAAATGACAAGGTGTAAAGCGCATGAAAATACCTCCTATTATGATAGGTTGTTATGAAAACTGATCCGGGAGAATTTTGGAGCAGAAATGTCACGGTGGCAAAGAGATCATCGAAGGCTTACAACACATGTATGATAAAAACATCTCATCTTCAATTTACTGATGGAGGAAATTAAAGAGCAGATAAATAGGTAGCAACAATTATCGTACCACTAGCATCATATAATACATCTGCTCCGAGGATGACTTTGGGGTGTAAACTGAAGATAGGTGCATCCCACACACCCCACGTGAGCCCCAGTACCTACAAGATAGAGCAAAATCACCTCAAGAAAAAAAAATTCTCATCATGCTATTCAGGTATGGACTTCAACAGTGTGTAGACACGATCTTGGTATATAATGTGCATTTGTGCAAAAAAGAGGGCAGAAACAGGAATGTTGATGCGCTCCGGCTAGGAAATACAATTGAAAGACAGCAATCATAGTGAAATGTTGTACACTTGTACCACCACTCTGGCCACATGCATCAGTTAACCGGGGCAGGTTTTATATATAAATTGATGAAGAGGATAGTTTACCTTACACTCTTGGTTATTCAAATCGCAAACTCTTCTTATGTTAGCCAGCACCTGCAGATCCAAGTTTGCAGGATTGTGAAAAATCAGTAGATCAATTTTCACACAGTCACACACATCTGAGCATTTAATCCCACAGACTGAAATTGTGAAACGATTTGTTCGGACAAGGGCCAACAGAAGGGTAAAAAGGATTACTTTTCTACTTCAAACAACAGAATGCCATCCCCAAAATGCCAATGTGGAACAAAATGGACCCCTTCAATCTCCAACTTTAGAAACAGCCATCCCAGTCCCCGACCGAAAATTAACAACTTAAATAAATAATAAATCTTTATTTAAGTTCCAATCGGCCCATTAATTTAAGCTTCCTCAATTTTGCACATGGTGCAAAAATATACATTCAGAACCACCAAATCGTTTTGAGGTCTCAATAGTCAGTAACGAAGCACTAGAAAAGAGCTGTAATTTTTTCAGCATGCCATGGAAGATAACTGAAGCTTTCAATTCATCAATTTGCATATAAATATATAATATACTTACATATATTATACATCAAATTTCAAGCAGCAATCTGGGACATGCATTGACAAATAATTAACATATAATACCTCTAGTCTGTTCAAGTCATCAGTTAGTGTGACATCTGCACCCACTTTTGCAGCAACCAAACCAGGCAATGAAGTTCCAGCTCCAAGCTGTAAACTAATAATAACAAAAAGAATTAATAACAAAAAAACCCCAAAAAAGGGCATTCATGGCTTAAAATCAAACACCGTCATACGGAGTATTCTTAAAAGACAAATTTAGCAACCAAAGTTTTTTTTTTTTTCCTGGTAAACTAAGGAAAGGGGGAACTTGAACACGAGTTCATCCGCTCGGGAAGCTAGGGCGCTTTACCAACTAGGCCGGGGGACTTGAATTTAACAACCAAATTTGTCCTACCTTTATAACAAACACTTCTGCTGCGTGAAAAAAGTTCAAATAGTAACCCAAAAAAAAAAAAAAACATAATAATTGAATTAAACTACAAAGCCAAGTGAGTTGAATTGCAATACCTCAACTACGCTAATTCCAGAAAAGCGTGATCTTTGTTGCCAAACATACTCGGCCAGAACGATACTACACGGCCACATGAACAACCCGTAATCTTCTTTCATATTCTGAATCAATGACATAAACAGAACAAAATTTAAACAAAAAATTTATAATAAGCGTTAGGAATTCACATCTACCTTCTGTTTGGTTGCTAAGAGAATAGAGGGATTTGCTATTGTTTCCAAAAAGTGTGCTCATTTTTACTGGGTTTCTTCTATATTCCTCCAATTTTCCCAGAAACCAAACGGAGTTCCTGATTGAGTTTTCCAAAAAGGCTAATAATACTTTACGGGTGTGCCCATTTTTACTGGGTTTCTTCTATATTCCTACAATTTCCCAGAAACCAAACCGAATTCTATAGTGGGTTCGAGTATTTTGCTGAAATTCTTGAGCAAATGAATCTAAATTTGGTGCCCTAATATATATATATATATATTCTTAGTTTTTATTAGGGTGAGAAAGGGCACCTCAATGATGGTGATGGAGAAGGCATCGGCGTTCTCAGTTGGGTTCCCGAAATAATGTTGTGCAACGGTGGTCATGTGCCCGTCGTCCGTCGACGGTGTCGCCGCCGGTTCGTCGCCGTCGGTGACTTCCATATTTGTCTCCTTGTAGCCAAAAAGTTGGAGCTCTGCTTATGTAAGAGTAGGATTTAACACTGCGTTTTGTTTGGAGGGAAGAGAAATGCAAGAGCACAAGGAATTGACAGAGGCAAGAAAAGAACATTTTTTTTTTCCTTCCCCTTTTTCACAGAGGAAAAGGAAGTGTCCAAAAAAAAAAAAACACTAAATTATTGACTTCAAATAAAAAATTTCAAATTATAATTTCAAATTTCTCCCATATATAATTTGATGATGATCGTCTCGAGCCACTTTTTAATTTGAAGGCTCAACTTATTTAATTCAATTTGAAAATTCTAATTTAAATAAAGGATAAATGCACTCCATTTTTATTATAAATGCAACTCTCTATTGTTTGAGATGAAGTAAAAATTTTAGCAATCTCATAATTTTCAATTCAAATTTTTTTGTTTGAAAATATGAATTTACATTTTATAATTAAATAAAAAGAGTAAATTTATTATTGAAATGGTCATGTTCGTAATTTAATACTGTAAATGATTTGTTATATTTGTGTCAGGTTTTTTACCATTTGATAAACAAGGTGTATAATTATTTCAATTCTTTTGTTTGAATTTCCATTATATATATATATATATATATATATATATATATATATATATATATATATATATATATATATATATATTCCTGACAAATAGAGGAAAAAAACTAGCAGAGGAAAGGATATTATTCCAAATCCACAAACTTAAGCATCTCCTCCGGAAGTCGAGAGATGACAGAATCAGCACACAAGCAAGATGAGGAGAGTGATGCAAGAGCATGGACTGCTCGATTACCTTGCCACCGCACATGAGAAACCTTAATCCACGAGAAGAGGTCCAGATTAATGTGAATATCATAGATACATGGGGCGATGACAGAAGGGCACCAAGAACCCACTTGCAGAGCTTCCACAAGATTTTTAGCATCACATTCAAACCATACGTTCTAAAAATCAAAAGCACGAGCCGACATGATAGCAAGTCTAAAAGCGAATGCTTCAACCACCAATGGAGATGAAGCCAAAAATTGCTTAAAAACTACTCCCTTAAGAACCAAGCCTTCTAAATCTTTGAAAATAGCTCCCCCACCCTCAAGGTCGGCTGAATGGAAAAAAGATGCATCAACATTGCACTTGATTTTGCCTAAAGGGGGAAGAAACCAAGAAAGAGGAGAAACAGAAGGTTTGGGAGTCAAATGCACATTCAAACAACACCTCTGCGAATTAAAAAAATTCCCAGAAACTTTGGACTGCCTTGGAGGGCAATGGAAGGATTCCAAAGTTCACTCTCAAAAATCAACCTGTTTCAAGCTTTCCATAAAAACCAGCAGCAAAGAAGCAAGATTATGAAGGCTCAACCACCATTCTGAAAAAGAATTCACAACGAAATTAGAAAAATCCAAGTGGAGGGGAGTTAGCTTCAAGTCTGCAAGGAGTGAGGATATTTAAAAAAAAAAAAAAAAATGGAGAATATTCTCCTCCTCCACACCACAACGAGGGCACACCGCATCATCAATGAGATGTTTATGAAGATGTGTGGAACCCAATGGAAGAACATCAAGACAACAACACCACATGAAATGATTAATTTTAGGAAGAGTTTTACAGTGCCAAATCTCTTTCCAAATTTTCCCCTCACCAACTGGAGTATAACAATGCAAAGACATAGCTAAGTGGTAAGTAGATTGAACTGTGAAACGACCTGATGTCTCAGGAGCCCAAATATAAGAATCATCTTTATTACAGAGGATAAATTGACATTTAGAAATGGCTACCACTTCATAGGCAAGAAAACTGAATTTAAAATATCTCTATTCCACGAGGCGTGTTGCATATCAATGAGGTCAGCAATCTTGAATAAATGAGCTCCAGCTTGTCGAAATGGAAGTTTCACAGATAAATCTGGAATCCATCTATCATTCCAAATGTCAATGGATTGACCATTTCCCACTGACCACATTAAACCATTACGAAGAAGCTCTTGTGTGGACCAAATACTACACCAGCCCCAAGACGGGTTTGATCCCAAATAAGGCTCCAAGAAAGAACAAGATGGAAAATATTTGGCTTTAAGGAGCTGAAAAGCAATACCTCTTTTAGTAACTTGAAAATTCCATCTCACTGGTACAGTCGGTACAATTGACGGTGATTACGTGGGGCTCAACTTGTTTCTTCCCTTTTTGGACCAATACGACATCGTCCTCTATCGGCGAACCCATTTTGGAAACACTGGCGATAAGAATTGCCGAAATTTCAATCGAAATCGGCTAGTTGGGGTGTCCTTCGGCGGCGGATATTCAGGCGGAGACAGAGTTCAATCAATTTGGGGTGTTTCTAACTACTTACAAGAGGAGCAAGCAGAGGGAAAATATTGCCAGAGTCGCACAAGGAGGTTTGAATCAAAATTTTAACTTGACGGAGTTGGTGATTATGGCAATGCTGCCGCAGAAGGAAGGGTTCACAACAATACTTTGGTTATTACCTTACTGGTGGTGAAGTTGTCAAATTCATCCTCGAGCTTCTGTTGTAACTCATTGGAGTCTGTGTCGACGGAGAGGACGATGGTGCCCCAATCGGCGCCGTAGAGGATGGAGGTAGGGCAGACGTGGAGGAGGATCACGTCGTCCCTGGGGCGGAGGTAGTTCTGTACCTCCCACTTGACGGCGAAAGCACTCTCGTTGCTGAGGTCGACGACGATGGTGATGCGGCGGTAGGCTCCGACAGTGGAGAGGAGGAATTTAGGGGAAGATGGCTGGATATGGGCCGCCGGTAACAGCTGAATCAAAGGGTCTTGTTCCGGCCAGGATTATTGTTTTGGATTTATAAAACTGTCTTAGTTTGTGTGAAAGAGTGTAGAGAGAGAAAAAGGGACAGAGAATTAACTTGGTCACCGGAGAATTTGTTTATAAAGGTTCCACCATCGTTTCTTTCCTTTGCTTATTTGTCACAGTTGTTCCTTGTGTTTTGCTTATTTGTCACCGTTGTTCCCTACGTTTTGGTGTTGAAGAAGAAACGGAGGTAACGTCGAAGTTCAGTACGATCAAAGTCTGGGACTTCGATTTGTAAAGGAAGATGCATCTGCACAATTTTGAAATTTAACCAAAAAAATATAAATTAGATTTATAATATGAGACCAAAACAAGCAAAGGAATTTTAGTTTCTTTTTCTTTCCTGCATCTTCTTTGAAATCATGCATAGAAGCATTGGATTTTTGTTGAATCATCGAACCTAGGTTTTCATCGAACCTAAGTGTTGAAGGAAGAAGACTGGGTATTTTTGTAATTTTTCAATAATATTATAAGTTTTAAATTTAACAATTAAATTATAAGGGCAGTTGTGATACCCCGCATAAGTTGATCAGGCTTATATACGAAAAATGAGATATATCAAAAACAATTGGTAATAAACAAGCATGGAATACAAAATGATAATAACAGACGAACTTAAACAGAAAATGAAAACTAAATAATAAAACATCCATCCATCATTTATTAAATACAATACTCCTTTATACATACTTGGAAATTCTATGTCAAGGATTCCTGAATACAAACCCGAAAGTTCAACGTCGGTAGTAAATAAAACTGAAATCAAAATAATACATAAAACTTCTACCCTGAACAAGACCGTAAGAATAGATGATTTCGGATGGTGGTCCCACACTGCTAAGCCTCAACCTTGAAACGGGTTCCTCTCTACTATGACCAAAATCAGATAATCAAATAAATTAATCATTATTATTCGAAAGTATACTATATCTGTATACACCCTAATGAAACTACACAATGTACAATAAGACCCCAACCAGAATAGACGGTGATCACTCAGACTCACATGAGGTGGTTAAGTGTTTTTTTTCCCTACCTGGGAAATCAGTTATTACTACACAGTGCACAGTATTGACAACACATACTATAAGTCCCATCTCAAGATACTAATGAATATACTGAGAATATACTAATAAATTTGGCTGGTAAGGCTTTATGTTATGTTTTTATTTGTTTAGTTAATCTGTTCTGTTTTGCAGTTTTAGAGAAGATATGGTAGTCAAAAAACTAAGGTTGTAAAAAAACAGAGAAATCCTTTTGTTTTCTTAGCAAAAGCATGTTTACTAACAAGGTGCCTTCCTGGAGCCCGTCACTATTTGGGATCAGCCGTTCTGTTCTATCCATTACTTAAAAGCACTTGTTATCGTATCTTTACTTGCTAAATCCATCCATGTTTTAGTGCAATAATGATCACTAGTGCAATCAAACAATTGAGAAATTTCAGTGCTTCTGCATTATTTTTGGTTTTCGCTTTTGTAATTATGTTATTAATATTTGAATTGATGCATTTACCGAGTTGATTTACCGAGTTGATAACTCAACTCTCTCTCTCGGTGAGTCATCCTCTGTGTAAGGGGTATTTCAGTTCATATTTATGGCACTTTCGGTCTATTAGGTCTATTGATTCCAATGCAATACATATTTGTTAATGATTTTTAAATGTCCAGTTGAATTGTCAAATTGATTTGAAACTCAATTCATTTCTGAATCGGCTTGTTAATTAACTTCTGTGGTTTTCGCTTTTGTAGTTGAGTGCATATAGCGAGTTGATTTACCGAGTTGATAACTCAACTCAGTGAGTGCTCCTCTGTGTAAAAAGGGATTTCAGTTCATATTGTCGGTATTTTCAGAGTCTATTAGGTTTATTGTAACCGAATTTCCTTTTAGCTGTTTATATATACATATATCCATATCTGAATTATACCTATCGTCTTATTAATTATAAATAGAGTTGATTGATTTCAGTGAATGTTTGGTTTTGTAGTTGTTATTCGACTGTGGTTGATGCATTCTGTCAATTGAATAATCCAATTGATTTCAGTTGAATGTTAATGTTATTAATAAGCATTCACTCATTTTGTTTAAACAGGAAAAACAAAATGGTGAAATGTGCTGTGTGTCGTCACAAGGGGAGAACCTGCGTAGCAGGCTCCTGCATGTATGAGCACATTTTGTGTGAGCTGACTCACACCCAGGAGTTTAACGATATGAAAAACGTCTACACGGTGGAAGCCTTCTCAAAATGGATCACCGATG